GAGTAGGTTCTAAGGTAGAATAAAACAAGTATTCAGTGTTTTTTTTTCATTTTCAATGGTTGTTTACATAAAACCATGTGACGATGTAAATTATTGTTGAGCATTATTAATCTGAATTTAATATTTTATTTACGAGATAATTCGGTTTTATAAGTGTGTTATATCACGTAAATAGGACGACAACTTCAAATAAAATCAATGTATAAGTAGTCTGACATTTAAATTGACCTATGAAGAACGTGTGTGAAAACTTTTTATATTACTTACTGGTTAATAAGTAGGATACTATTATTTTTTTTATTGTAAGTCAGTAGGTGGTTTAGTGCTTTCTATTTCCAATGGTTCGACAGTTGAAGGTAGTCCATGACAAATACCACTATCGCAAAGATCTCAAAAGATATACATTGTCTGTAAAATGTATTGAAATACATGAATTATTTACAACTGTTTGAAATCATGAATCGAACACTGTTAGAGTAACATTAGAAACTTGGAAGCAATGAAAGACTGCTCATTTGTCAGTCAGTCAGTTGCAACGTAGAACTTCGTACGTATGTACATAAGTTCATGTTGCCATACCACATTAGCACACAGACGCAAATGTCAAGTCAAATCCCATAGTGTAATTTGACATAATGTCCGTACATTGAATGCTCCAACGTGTAGTTTGGAACGGGGTTTAAGGAGACCAGGAACGATGTTTCGCGAACTCGAACTGTGATAAATGAATGTGAGAAGAGTTAGTCGTGGAGATAAGAGAGGTATTAGGGAATGTAGGAAGGATTTGATTTTGAAGAATTTGGTCTCGTGTGTTGTTACGGGTATGAGGGTGGTTATCACTTCCCGGGTGCCCACACCGTGGAAGGTTGTTTCTTGAGGAACCTGAAAAGGTAGATAGATTAGTGTTGATCCTGAAGACCTGGGAGCGTGACCGCAGAGTCCAAGGGACAACTGCTTGAGGCCGGTCACGCACGGCCTTTTTATGAGAGGTATTTAGAGGATTAGCTCCGTTCTTAAAGGCCCTTAGTGGGCACCCTTACCCAAGGAGACGAACATCCGTGAGTTAAGGGAGGTGTGACATTTTTAGGGCCGACCTTTTCTAACCCTTCCTTCCTTGTGAGAAGGCAGCATCGCTGCAGATGCTGGTTGTCCGAGGGAAACACCTTACTGCTGTCACACCCCTCTGCAGTCAGCAGTACGACTTCGCCCTCAGACCTTGGGTAGCTGCTTTTAGTCTCATCGTTCTCCAATCGACCTGCCTGGCATGGTAGGACCTGCAGGAACATATGTTCCAGCCAGTATAGCTCGGTTGGGTCATCACGATAGGCAAGCCCGACTACCACGTCAAGGTAGCAGCTTCGGTCCTGGTATTGGACTCACCAGCAGTGCACATCCACGATTCCTGAACTTTGTAGGACTCGAAACGGCCTTCCAGTGCTTCCAGGTCTCTAATGGTGTGGTCTAACATGAATCGATTCATGATTTCAAAAAGTAACTCAACAATCTTCACAACATCGTAATGAAAATTATTTATAACTAATGATCATTGTTGATTGTTGTTATCCCTGCTGTATTTGCAGTTGATGCCTAGTAAAATTATTATCTATATACACGAACAGTTTAGATAGCCAGTTATTTTGGGACGATTCTGTTCAAATTTCTAGTGGTGTTTCGTAGCTTGCGATCTAACCTTAGTGAATATAAATGATCAAGTATGAAACGGAATAAACCTTCCCTTCCATTTTGGCGAACTCCGTTTGTGCAACGTCGGTTATAAGAAGTCAAATATGGTTTTGTGGATGAGTTTATTTCATGCATTCATTCAAGAAGAAGGCGAGTGAGCCGATTCCACTTCGCTCTCTTCGTTCTTGTATGTCTGTTTAAATGAATGTACGAAATAAACTTATCACAAAAAAAACTATATTCAGCTTCTTATAACTGCTGCCGCAAAATGAGGTTCGCCTATCTCTTGTCAGATATTTCCAATGTACTAATCAACTACTCGTACATCGAACATCTTGCAACTTGCTAAGTAAATTGGCAGTGAGGCGACATGGACATGTATATGAACCGTAAGTCTAAGTAGTCGAGTGGACCTCTTGCACGCTGTTGTCAACATGTTTCCGACTACCGCAACGCTATCACAGACATAAGTCTAAAGTCATGCACTCGGTCGTAACAACTTGTGTTCTCTATATGCAACTATCGCATTTGTGCGCAGCAATCATTGTTCGACGATAATCTAGACTGAACTTTCTTAATATATATATATATATATATATATATATATATATATATATATATATATATATATATATATATATATATATATATATACAGCCATTTGTATTGTCGATGAGGTTTGCTATAATGTTTATACATTCATCAAATTTCATCTTATTTGTTTACTCATATATAACTGCACGCTACATTCATTACTCTCTAACTTTGCATGACTTACTATTTACTTACGCCTGTTACCCCCAAATGGAGCATAGGCCGCCCACCAGTTTTCTCCAACCAACTCTGTCCTGGGCTTCCCTCTCCAGTTCTGTCCAATGTTTGTTCATTCCTCTCATATCTTTCTCTATTTCTCGGCGTAGTGTGTTCCTTGGCCTTCCTCTTTTCCTTTTACCTTGAGGGTTCCATGTGAGGGCATGTCTTGTGATGCAGTTCGGTGCTTTTCGCAGTCTCTGTCCTATCCACTTCCACCATTTCTTCCTGATTTCCTCCTCCACTGGAATCTGGTTTGTTTTCTCTCACAGTACGTTGTTGCTGATGGTGTCTGGCCAACGAATACGAAGTATTTTGCGTAGACCACAGTTAATAAACACTTGTATCTTCTGGATGATGCCTTTCGTAGTTCTCCAAGTTTCCACTCCATACAGTAGAACTTTCTTGACATTTGTATTGAAAATGCTGATATTGGTTTTGGTCGAAAGTTGTTTGGAGTTCCAGATATTTTTCATTTGTAGAAAGGCATCCCTTGCTTTGCCGATCCGCGCCCTCACATCTGCATCCCATCCACCTTCGATGTCGACGATGCTGCTAAGATGTGTAAAGGTGTTAACGTCCTCCAAAGCATCTCCATCAAAATGATTTGGTTGGCGCATGTTGTGTTGTATCGTAGAATCCTACTTATTTCGCACAACTACTGCAGTTAATATCCATTGCGGCTAAACTATAAATCAGGATATCGAGTTTAGAGCACATTTCTCAAAGAAACACTCATTTACATCGTATTCAAGTCAGTTTTATTTGTCCAGCTTACACAATCGTATGTATTAGTATTTTCATCATGCCTTCGTACGGTTTTTCAGCAAGCAAAACCAAGCGCATCTCTCTCCAATGACTTAGACCATGCTACACTTCACGATCAAAAAAGGAATATGACGGAAATCAGATGATAGATTTATTTCATAGCATATTTGTTTTTATTCGGACAAAGTGGAGTCAAATCTTGGGCCACTAAAGTGATGAGCGCTGCTTTGAATTCAATGTAGTCAATATAAGTGTTAGCGTATGGAAACCTTCTCACAGGAATTATATTAAATATTACTGATAATTATGATTTATCGATCTGGCTAGGGTGACGTTGAATTTCTAAGGAATCACTAGTTTCTTATTGTTTACTGGGAAACCCTGTTGATAAGTGCTTTAGTTGAACTGGGCTTTTATCAACGAACCCAAACCGCATAATTAACGATTTCAGTTATCTGACAATTAAAAAGCTTAATTATCATTTATTTTATGAACGAAGATGGATGGTGGCTAGCGCTGGGTCCAAGGACGCGCGCTTTGTCCTTTTTGGGACTTATCAGCTGTTAGTATCTGCACCTCATAGTTGACATTCTTCCGGGGAATCTAACCCAGTACCATTCGCAAATATGCCAAAGGGATTGATCAATTTCTGCCATAAACATCAACGGAAAGATTTAAATAATCAATAAAAATGAAAATCATTCGTTTTGTTTTTTCAGTATCGCATACTACAATCTTATACTGTTGATTTCGAATTTGAACCTCTCTAGTTTTTATCAATGTCTTATCTACGGTTTATTGTGTTAATGGCAACTCAAATCAATATATTTTATGCCCTTGTAATGGAGGATTCCAATAGCCTTTGGAAGATCAGCGCTACCAGTCAATAAGTCACTGAGGCAATATGAAAATCACATAAAACCTTTTTATGTATAATATTTTATAATAGACATTGCGGAAAGCACGAAAAAGCGTCACAAGACAAACCCTCACGTGGAGCCCTGAAGGTCAAAGTGAGAGATAAAGGCCAAGAAACACAGTGCGCCGAGAAATAGAGACACAAATTAGAAGGATGAACAAAAATTGGACAGAATTGGAAAGAGAGGCTCGGAACTGAGTAGGTTGTAGAATACTGGTAGGTGGCCTATGCCCCTTGAGGGGTAACAGGCGTAAGTAAGTAAGCAAGTAAGTAAACAAGTAGGTGCATAAGTAAGTAAGTAAGTAAGCATGTACAATTTTTATTCGTCAGTCCGAAAGGCTGAAAAACATTTTGTTCATTTCACTGGTTTCATCAAAGCAGGTGACTATACTTAAACTAGAGGATTTCTTTGTATCTTTAAACATTTATTTCATGTAAAATCGATAGCCATCCATGAAACAGCAGCACATATCAACCATATTTTATCGTACTCTAGACCAAAAAATTCAGTAACGTTTATTTTGAAAACTCCAAAAAAAAGTCAAGCTTGTAACTGGGATTTTGATGAACACTTGTATGTATACATATTCAATTAACCGATTGACTAATTGTCGGTTTAGGGAATTCTAGATTCAAGAAACATCATGCATTAATTAATGCTTTGCTATATAGTTTTTCTACAAATATTGATTATTTTTAGTATTATACTCATGAAGATGGTAAGAATGACAGTTTAGATACTACCCTACCTACCATTCAGTTTCGTATGTATTCAATGACTGTATATAAATGCACAGATTAAATCAGAAGAACGTTGCTTCCACTGACTTAAATACAGGTGTATTATTCAAAATTTCATTGGGAAATGTTCAAATACGTTGGTAAAATTTGTGTGTTTTTTTGCTTCGAAATACACTCTATCTGTCTTATCTTGTTTTGGTTTATATAGAAAAAAAAGTGACATTTTTTCTTGTTCGTCTATCCTTCATCTTCGCCTTCGTCATGCAGTACCGGTGCACCTAAAACAAGAAAATGGAAAAAGTATTTGAAAAATAAATGCACAGGGGAATTAAGTTTACACAGATATAATATAGTACAGTTCAAAATTTATTGTTAAGTCAGTCAGTCAGTCAGCAATGAACGTGGGACTTGGTATGTGCTTACGTACATCAGTTCAAGTTGCCATACTAAATGAGCATACAGAGATGCAACTGTTGATTCAAATCACTAAGTGGTGTAGAGGTAGTAGAAGTATGAACAGTAATCGGAGAGATTAGTCTTTGAAGTGTTACGCCTGCACGTAAACACGTTATTTTGATATGCTTGAACTATTTATTACGAGTTTACCTAGTCGGAAACGCGAGAGCAAGGATCGAGGATCCGATAACACGACATGCTACTCAAATCTGATTATCTCAAACTCCCATATTGAGTAGAAATAAGAAGACATGATATGAAGTAGAACCTGTATTCTACAAGCATCCAGAAATTACGAAGTCCGAATACAGAAGAGAATCAGGATCCCGGAATAGGGATCCGGGACCGGGTCTTTGTCCTGGTCCTGGTCATAAAACGTTACAGATAATGAGTATTCTTACATTTTGGTCGAATAGGAAGCAGCATTGAAGTCTGTGACATTGACAGTTAAGACGACTAATAGGAAGCAACATTTGGAGTGACATTGATAGTCAGGACAACTAATAAGAAACAACATTGGAGCATGTGACAGTGATATCTAGGACGACCATAAATTTGACCAGTAGGAACTAACCAATATGAATTGACCAATAATTCTCTTAGGATATTGGATGAATATCCTAACATGAAGATGGTAGTTTGGTGAAATAAATTTGAGAAGAATAAGATGAAGGTCGTGAGGAATCCAGAATAGAATTTGAGTAAAGACAAATGATGGATGAACCTTCGCCATTGCAAACGATTTTGAGCCATATCATTCGAAGTTTCTAACCATCAGTTACTTTTGCCTCGCTGACCCCAACCAGGTAGTCTACACTTACCAACATGACTCAGTTCAGCTGTCAGTGACTTCATGGATTTGTGCCATATTTCGGCTTGACCGCCCCTATTTTTCTTCCAACCTGCTGTGACACCACAAAACATTGCAGTCAGTGGGTGGGCCTACGCAACACTTGTCCCAACCACTTCAACTGATGAAGTTTCAGTACTTCATCTACTGATTTTCCAACCCTGCCTGGTACTCGTTTCCTAACAACTGGATTACTCACTCGATTTTCCCAGAATATACCATCAATGACTCGAAGACACTCGTAGTCAAATACTAGCAACCTCCGAATATTATCTACTGTTAGTAGCCACATTTCTCACTCATAAAGTAGGACAGAGCGAACTGCTGCACAGTAAGCCCGTCTTTTGGTTGGTAGACAAATATCTTTCCTATGCCATAAATGACACAAATTGGCAAATGCCGGCCTAGTCTTCTGTATCCGTGCTGAGATTTCGTCCGACACTTGGCCATCATCAGCGATGAAACTCCTCAGATAAGTGGAGCGGTCAACATACTCAATTACTTCACTCTCTATGACCAGTTCAGGTGCCTATGCAAGCCAATTCTGAAGCAACAATTTGCACCCACTTTCTTTGTTTTTTATTTCAGCTTGACATTAACCTGCGTCTAAATTGAGTTATTTAGATTAATAGGGTCACGAAAACTGCATTAATATTAAGTTTTGACCGTAAGTCCATTCAGTGTAAATAACAGGGGTTTGTTTAGTGCTGATTTTATTCTTGATTCAACATTGTAGACACTAATCTCTAATAACAAGATTGCTCGCTTCAGTCGCTGATTAAGTACTCACTAAACATATTGTACTAGAGTTTCGCATACAAGTAGCCATCACCTACTTAAAAATGACATTGAAATATTAAAGGAGTTCAAGAAACCAAGACAAAGCTGCTATATGATGGGGTACTGGCGAGACTAAACGTATTTATCATTCATATGGGAAGACTAGAGGTAAATTAATCACATTTTTGATGGTACATTTTTATCTGACATGTCCTCATTTTTCTTGGCTTTCAAAAGATAATTTACGACGACACTCTTAGAACGTTCACAATGCCAGAATTAAATTACATTTCAGCTAACTATCGACTTTGCCATGCAAATTTTGTTAGCTAATCATCCGAATAGGGAACTTGTTCAAAAAATTTCGGGTCATCAGAAAGACTACCACTGTCAAGCCTAAAACGGGTCACTCAACCTCATGTCCTTTCCAAACTAAGAATGTAACTGGATATCCACATTCCTATCAGTACTAGTGGAAAATGATTTCAAGTTAGCAGTCACTTATCACCTGCTGACTTATGTTGTATCCGAATAAGTTCTAATCTATCACCTCAAAAGCTCTTTTTGTAGCGTTAGAAACAATTAAGGATAAAACTGCTTAGTATAAAGTTTTTTGTCTATGCGGTGAAAATGTGTCATAACAAAGCCACAGTTAAACTGAAAAATGTTTTAAACTTAAAACTAACCGTCCAACTTTTTAAGTTTGGGAAGCCTTTTGCATGCCTCATCTCTCCAAGTGTCACCACTGTTTTCTTCAAGTGGATTGCCTAAATTATAGCAGGTTAAGGAGCATTAAAACGAAAGATTACCGAGAAAAAGTAGATCCTCGAGGACTGGAAGTTCAGCTAGCTTCTGAAATTCGCCCCAGTCTTTTACGACATTGTTTGACATATATAGTACTTTAAGTTTTTTAAGTACGTTTATCCCCTTCAGTTTTTCAATGTTGTTATAGGAAATCCAAAGTTGTTCAAGTGTGTCGCCCACCGGTTCAAGCCCTGCTAGATTTTTAATGTTGTTTCTTGCTAGTGACAGTATTTTCAAATTTTCTAGGACAATATTTAACCTGTCGAATGTTACTTAGCCCATTTAAATTCGCGATTTTCTCTATACAATTGGTTGAAAGAGAAAGTTTTCTAAATATGTTTTGACGAAATGTAATTAATCATACTCGCATTTTTGTAAGGTACTGAGTGAAGCATCTGTTCTTTCTATTGGTGGATATAGTCCACAAAGTTTTATTTCTGTTGCTTCTGATGCTTTCTGTCCTGTTTTTTCCTCCTAAACAAGTCTTATCCTCATTTTATATCTTACCCATTTTTTAAGGGCATCCTTAATAGTTGTGGGCTTGTCCTGATAACAAAAGTCTAAGTGGAACGTTGGAAACTCACCATTTTCAAAATTGCTCAGTTTGCTGTCATGCCAACAACTTCAAAATTCAACAAATTTGGACAGGGATAGCAAACTGATTGTTCTTTTGTTGTTGCATCTGAATAGCTAGAGTATGATCATAGCCACGTATAATAATTTCTGTAATTCCAGCAAAGTATCACATCTTCCCCATATGGCGTGATATTGTACATCCAATATCCAATATTTTTCCGGGCAAGTATAAATTAAATGATTTATTTTGCGCTCAATTCCTGTTCTTTGGTATGGTTCCAGGTGTTTGGTAGTGTCCAATGGAAGGGGATCAAGCAACTCCACTGCACTAATTCTAGTCACTTGTCAAATTTTGGTGAGTTTGTATATCCCCTGGTTTGAATGAGTTCATTTGTTTAAGGGCAGTAGGGTTTCACTATACCAGCAGCTACCAATTTAACAGGCTGGATATCAGTTGTTTACAGTGTGGAGAATAATAAGGAGAAAAGTACAATGCTAATAAGAGGGAGATTTTACAACTAAGTAAATAAATGGATAATTTAATTGATTAATTAATCGTAAAGATAGTGCGAGAGGAACGAAGTGTAAGCAAGGTAGATGAAACAGAGTTAATAAGCAAGATAAATTAAGTTAGTGATCTGAGAAGATAGCAATAATAACAACTAGCAGGTCCCAAGACATGCATTAGGCACCGCTGTTCCACGAAGAGGATGATAATTCGTGAGTACGTGCTTATCAAGTCTATTCTTAAAGCTGTCCACTAAGGTGGCCGTCTGGTTACCTCGGCTGGGAGAACATTCCAAGTCGAAACGACTGCTATTGCGAAAAATTGTGCTCTCAGATGCACGCTATCATCAGATCACCTCTGGTTCTCCTGTAACTCAGGGAGAGTAGTCCAAAGTGCTAAGGTTTATCATCGTGAGTTTTATTTTTCAAACCAATCACCCATTCCGTTGCTCGGCTCTGCACTCGATACAAGAGATTTGTTTCTATATTAAGGAAAGGGGGGCAACGACTTCTTGAATCTCAAGATGTGAGAGCACATATGACTTAAACAACCTTAAGAATAATTTTGGAGTGATAGCACCAAGTTGTTTTCGCATAAAGTGGAGAGTTGCATTAGCCTTAGCTACTTCTCTTATATAGTTGAACCTGGTGTCGAGTCTTCCATTGGTTAATGAACCGAGATCTCTCTCTGAAAGACATAAGGGGGGGACTCTTTCTCACTACCCATTCTCTTTGAAGCTCATTCGAACCCATTACCTTCAGTAGTATTGGCAGCAATGCGATTGCTGTGTAACAGGCTGGGTCCATGTAATCACATTAACATTAAATTAATATTACACCTCACTTATCATTCACTCCCTCGATACTTACTTCACCTTTTGGTGTGCAAATCAGTGTCCCATCACTTCGTCCACAGTTATGTTTTAATGACTACGGGCTTAGATCAACGAGTAAAATTTCGCTGTGCAACTCTTAGGCTTCACCTTACCACACTTTATTGTTCTCTTCATGCTGTTGACGTCAAACGCGCAGAGGAATATCCAATAATTCTTTCTGTTTTATTACCTGTGAGGAAAGTTCCACATAAATATCACCACGTGACACTTGTCACTATTTTTATAGCTGAAGATATTCATTTCCATTCCAGTCCTATTCTCACAAGATTCTTTCAGTCGTATACAGCTGCTCAGTTTTAGTGGTTAGCATTTTTTCTGCGAACTGTCATATCATGTTGAAATTCTCTTTTGAATCACGATGTATGATTGTTTTATTAGTCCTAGATACTCGCGACTATAATAATTCGGTTAATAATAGAAGCCATCTGGGCGAAACACTTAAAGTAACCCCATCAGTGTAAACAAACGTAAAGTAACCATCGACCCATCTTTTGAATGATCTAACTGCTAGTTTCATCAGTATATCTTTTATCTAGGAGTCACATAACTAACCAGTTCGAACCACGAATAAGTTTTTAAGAATCTTTCTTGGAGCTCCTTTATGTTCAGTCCCAAGTTGACGAATTTCGACGTGTGTTGTTGTACCAAAACCTGTAATTGCTATGTGCAGGTGAGGAAAGTGATTAGAACGTGATATTGTAAAAGCTTGTGTTAGGTAGTTACTGGCTAACCAAATACATCAGTGAGGATAAATTCATTATATACATTATTTCTTAATTACTTACCTGCTAACGCCTGTTACCCTTGATGAAGCATAGGCTGCCTTCAATCATTCTCGAACCTAATCAGTCCTGAACCTTTTCTCCAGTTCTAACCAATCACTGTTCTTTCTTTTCACGTATGCTTCCAATTTTTGGTGCACTGTTTTCGTTGGTCTTACTCTTTTTCCTCGATCTTGAGGATTCCAAGTGAGGGCTTCCCTTTTATTGTAAATGGGTTTTTTATTCCATGTGTGTCCTATCTACTCCCAGCATTTTACCTAATCTATTCCCTTGCTAGGGGAATCTGGTTTGTTCTCCCCCACAGTAGGTTACTGCTGATGGCGTCTGGCCGACGGATCCTCGGTTCCTTGCGTAGACAGCTGTTAATAAACACATGTGTCTCGTGAATAGTGGTATTCGTAATTCCATACAATAGAATCGTTTTGACGTTTGTATATTATTGCTATTATTATTATTATTAAAAATTGTGACTTTGATTGGTCGGAAAAGTCCAACTTTATGTGTTCAAAAACAACTGTATGTTGACCTTTGTTTACCATGGTTCTAGTGAGTGAATGTCATGCTAAAAAGGAAATTTTGACCTTATCTTCTAAACTGTACTTACACAAATAACATGTTGCTTGTATGTGACTGACGAGAAAGCACGAAATGATACTATTTCACAAAATATGTCTTCTTATTTCTCTATTCATAATTTATCAAAGGGAACCACTGTTTTGACTTTGATATTTGTCGATAGCTGTTTTGAGTTGCAGATGTATTTCATTTGTAGAAGTGCTGCCCTTGTTCTGCCAGTCCGCACCTCCACATCTGCATCAGATCCACCTTGCCCATCAGTGATGCTGCATATGTACGAAAATGTTTTCACATCTTCTTAAACTTCTTTATCCACTGTGATGTCCGTGCATGTCATGTTATATCCGAGAATCTTGCTTTTCCCTATGTGTATGTTAAGACCTGTTGCTGCTGAGGCTGCTGCTAAACTAGTCTTCTTTTGCATTTGTTGTTGCGTGTGCGATAGAAGAGCCAGATCACCTGGGAAGTCCAGATCGTCCAGCTGCATCCTGGCTGTCCACTGTATACTGTGCTTCTCTCCAGGTGTTGATGTCTTCATACTCCAGTCGGTCGCCAGTAGAAAGAGAAAGGGTGAGAGTAAGCAACCTTGTCTGACACCGGTCTTCACCTTGAACGAGTCTGTCAGCTGACCTCCGTTCACAATTTTGCAGTCGAATCCACCATTAGAATTCCGTATGATGTTGACTATCTTCTCAGGCACGCCATAGTGTCGAATAAGGCTCCATAGTGTTGTCCTGTTCAAGCTATCGAGTGCTTTCTCGTAGTCGATGAAGTTGATGTAGAGTGGTGAGTTCCATTCAACTGATTGTTGAACAGTGATCCATAGTGTTGCGATTCGGTCAGTATGCGACCGAGCTTTAATTAATCCAGCATGCTGATATGGAATTTGGTCGTCAACTGATCCTTTGATTTTGTTTAACAACACTGTTAAAGACGTTCTATGGTAGTGAGAAAATATTGACGCCTCCGTAGTTCTTACACTTGTTGATGTCGCCTTTCCTTGGTATCTTGATAAGGTGTCTTTCTTTCCAGTCTGTTTGTACTTGTTCTTCATTCCGAAGCTTTCTCGACAGAACGCGGAGTATAGTTCCGGTTACTGCTATGTGTGCTTTCAGCGCCATAGCTGGTATCTAGTTTGATCCTTCCGCTTTGCCACTCTTGATTTGTCGGATAGCCGTGCTGATTTCTTCAATTATCTGTGGGTTAATTTGGATTGAAAGGTCTGTAATTTCCTTTTCGGTGTTCTCTTCAGTCAGGCTGCTCTGTTCAAGAAGTATTCAGAGTTCTCTACTCACTTGTTTTTTTTGT